CCATCACCAGGTTCCCACCCAGAGAGAACCTTACGGGGATATAAATTTTTTACTATTGTGAAGTTTGCAAGCAGAGAGTCTCAGCTGCCTTTGATTAACAGTGTCATAAATCTGGTCAGGTTTCCCTGTGCAGGAAGAGAATAAAATAAAAAAAAACGACACTCCATAACTGTGAAAGACGTTAAACATATAGAATATGGTATTTACAGAGCCGCTGGGAAGCCACGTAGCCACCTCAGACGCATACATTACACATATTTACAAGAAAAAGGAAACATTCATCTTCACTGTCAGTTATTGTGTCACTGCGCTGGTGAAAAGGCGAGGGCCGCAGTAGAAGGTAGAGTTTACCTAGATGCGAACCTGAACAGTAATAAACTTTTACGACCACGACATACTTTACTTATTTTAACAAGACTAGATAATGAATTAAAAAATGAACATGAATATTTGCATTGGTTCTCAATTAAACTAATCTAAAGTTCAATAAATTCATTTAGTTTTTGGTTAATGTTTGATCAGAAAATGTATGATCCATTGTAGAGCTGCAGCACTGACCCTGACTGCTGTGCATCATTCATATAAGCAGACTGCACCGTGGCGTCAAGATTTCCTGCCCAGATGAAGAGTCACCTTCTCTTCAGAGTGTGGAGATCCTGAAAAGGAGGCATGAACAAGACAGTCTGTATGACTGGTCAACATAAATATCCCCAGGCAATATAGATAAATCCCAGTGAATTAAACAATGAAAGGATTTTTTTTAATTGTGTGATTGAGAATCCAGGAGTCATACTTGAGTCAGTCACCTTCGCCTGCGAGCATAGCACAGACCACGAGGATGATCACGTGATGGTAGCCACGCACCCCGCCTTCCTGACGGAAGTTACCTTTCTACTCAGGATTAGTCTTCGGCTGAGCTTCTTTAGGATGCTGTAGTAGTCGTGTACTAGCCATACCGCTAAGAATCAGTCTGTCCCGGGTTTTGAAAGACTAACAATCTTTACTACCCCAACCAGAACCCACCACACTCAGACAACAACCGACAGGGCTCACCGGTTTAGCTACCTGCCTGAGTGCCTTTATACCCCACATACACTCATGTGCCCACCATTACAAATACAACACAATACACACTATTTACAGCTAATTAATTCCACATATTTTCACCTGGTACTGCGTCATGGTCCCGCGAGGTACATTGGGTATTCCCCCAGCCCCTGCACAGCGCCGCAACACGTACTGCATAGGGGTGACCCGGGATAATAGTTGGGGTGGGTCGATTAACTTAAATAGTAACCCCCGCTATATCCCTCTCCACTTCTGCTAGCATAAGATTCCTAGCAACAACTCTGATGCTCATAAATGTACAAGATTAATTTCTAAATGGATACCAGATTCGATTCAACAACTGTCCCCGATACCCGGGTGGAGAGAGTGTGTTTAGATCTCAAACATGAGCAGGTACGTTAAAAGAATTTTATACCCGAAGGCACTGCGCTGCCTTTTACGATATTTCATCACACAGTTTGAACAGTTCCTACACTTTTCCAGCATCTTAGGATCATACACCGAAATTCCAGCGGCGTATCCTGCTCACAGCTAGGGCAGGAGCCCCAACCGCGGAGGCGCAAGACTACCTACTGAATGAAACATGCGTAATCAATTATAAATATTTACAGACACATCAAAAGAAAGCAATTCCACGATTATCATAGAGGATGGAATGACTAAACAAAAATGCAGGCGTATTACATAATAATACAGTATCCATTTAAAAACATGATCTGTACGTGTTATACTGTATGAATAATCGAAGAAACGAATAACAAAGAATTACTGCATGCAAATGAAAACAGTTAAATCAGGATCATTTTAGTCTACAAAAAAGGAAATAATATTTAGTAATTATGTTACACAAAAACTGGGCGTGGGTTAAAGCTCGCTTGAAGGTACTTCGTGAGAGAGCCGCCAATTTAGGCTGCCACACATTCGCGTTTACACAGCGCCCACGGTATGGACTGCGCACGGCATAGTTTATGTACTATTAGGGAATTTATTTTTTAAATAAATTTCATTTTTAAGATTCTCATAATTATGAAAACATTACATTTTCAAGATTAGTTTAAATTTACCGATTTTATGTACTCTTTTTTTCAGATCCACGGTTCTGTTTGGTAAGACGTTATTTTCTATTTTTATTTAGAGCTGGGTCTTTTAACAATACAGGTCAACGTAGTACTATAATGCTTCAGATTTTACCTTTATATGATATTCATTTTAATGGTAATTGATTGATACGCTGAACATCCAAATGTGTCTTTGTCCAGTGTTATCTTTTAAAATCCGGATTTTACTCTTCACTTTGGAGGATTTCTCATGCTGTTCTGGTAGTGATAGTAGCAGATTAAGTTAACACACTTGACGCTTGTTAGATTTTGATGTTTTGTTCACCAGCTGCTCAGTTTGACTTTAAAATGTCATCAGAATTGTATTAGAATTTGCTTTACGAATTTGCTTCCTATGATTTCTTAAACAGGGATCGTAGACTGTTATGTATGTGGAGCTAGTGCGTATCTTTTCTGTTTTGGGATACGTTACAGATACATTCCTTGCTGCTCCGAGTTACGTTACTTAGGGTTTTGTAGATTAAATTCACCCCGAAGTCGCCATCTACCTTCACTCTCTGGTATTACAGCTTTCTTGTCCTTCTGTAGCTGTAATTTATAGTGTGACGTTTTTTGTTTTTTTTCATAAAACTGAGCAGTCATTTACAATTTTTATGAATGTGTAATGAGTAATACCAGGGTAAGTGCGGTATGTAATGGTGGCGTTGGTTTCTGGCAATTCCCGCTTCTCTGTCCAGGATAAGTTGACAGACGGGTGACTGATGGATGTCATACTTGATTTTAGCAGTAATGTATTTTATCTTGAGCAGTAAGAGAACATATTACAGACGTGTTGTATTTACATCAGTGCTGTTAATCTAATAAAAATGCTCACACATCTAGTCATGAAAGCAACAGTAAAAACCCATTATTCTGGATCATTACTTAAATGATAAAACAAAACTAAGCAGGATGGACAATAAACAGTTTGTGTTTATTTCTAGATTAACGATGGTGACCGTGTGGAAGTACAGTTGCGTGATCATCTGCGCCTGCTTCCTGCACTCTTCCTGCTTGCAAGACCCAGGTACACGGTTCCAGCTTGCTAATGATGCCTGACATCATCTGTTAATGTCAAATAACATGATAAGAAAAGAAATGCCATAAACATGACAATAGCGACCGCAGAGCGCAGCGGTGCCCTGATCGTGTCCATGTTTGCATTAGATGAGCCAAGCTTGTGGGGGAAGAAGGTGGACTTTCTGCTGACGCAGTGCCGCTTCTGGCAGCTGAGTCCCGCTCTGCTCATCCCGGAGCTGGAGGAGTTCACGCTTTGCGTGGACCTGCGTAGTAAAATCAGCACCAAAGATTGGACGGTCTTCATGTACAAGAGGCATGGTGACTCCCAGCCGGAACTGGGGCTGTCCGGAATGAGGGACATGCTGCGGGTGTGGCTCTTTGGGACAGAGTGGCCCACCAACGTTACACTGTCGGAGGACAACTGGCACTCCATCTGCATGGTGTGGTCCGGCCGCCTGCACCTCTACGTTAACGGAGTTGAAGCCCCTGGCACCTACATGTTAGAGTCAAGCCGCGGCGCCACCCGCCGCCTGGCACCCAACGGCACGCTGAGCCTGGGCACGTCCCACGGGTTCACTAACGGAGACATGGTCCCCGAGGACGGCACCAGCTTCCTGGGCTCCGTGTCCGTGTTCCGCATGTGGGGACACGAGATCGACCCGCAGCATCTTTCTGCGTTCAGGTGCGCTGAGGGCAACATCATACGCTGGAATGCGCTGGACTGGGATACGAAAGAGTGTCACGGAGTGTCTGACCCCAGCCTGCCGTGTGGTAAGAGCACATAATCACCCATAAATCACTCCTGTAAACTGTGCATTGTTAATCATGTGAATGATGACACTAACGTGGGGAAAGCTGAAATTATTCCTGCTAACTGTGTTTAGCTATCCTGGTGAGTAATAACACCCTGGAAAAAGAACTTTGCAATGACACATTTGGACATATAGACTAGTGACCAGGATAAAAGGTTGAAAGATGGATGGATAGATATTTTTACATATGCATTTCTGATTCTCATTTCAACATTCTGGTGATCTAATATATCATAATGAAATCAGCTCTTCACAAATCATTATGTAATAAATACAGAAATGTTATTTCCCAGGATAAAGTTAGTGGACCTGCGCTTTAATAAGCATTTAGCATTTGTGTCAAGCGCATCAAGACATGTGTAAATGATTAACAGCCTATAGAGAGGTTTGACAGCTTAATTTAGCATGAAAATGAGAAACCAATTTGGTCTTAATCGTAGGTAAGTGGTAAGGGACAGGACCTGGCCAAATGTAATGGGCGGTATGGACATATCCCCACCAATACTGTGAGAGAACCGTCTGTGTTTAAGGGGGCGGGGGGTTCGGGGCTGATTTGGTCCCTAGCAATGTTGAAACCTAACCTACGCCCTTGGTCTTTGGACACCAATTGTTGAGTTCAGGTGTTTGAGCCACACTCATAGCTAAGCACTCAGGCAGTGTCCATAGACAAATGATGGAAGTAGAGTGGGCCGTGCTGAGGAGCTCAGGGACTTTGAACATGGCGCCATTATAGGATCAACGCATCAGATTTTTGCCGTTAGCACTGCCCCAGTCAGCTGTTAGCCCTGTTATTGTGAAGCGGATATGTGTACTCAGCTAACAGGGAAAGTTTACAATACTTTAGACAATTTTATAATAACAACAACAACAACTAGTACTTTATTGATCCCCATGGGGAAATTCTCTTTACACCTCCCCCAGCTTTCTCTCTGTAGGTGAGAGTAAGACTGCTATATGCATATATGCCATCCAGCCTTGAAACCCATGATCTTTGAGGTATAAGATGGCAGCACTGCGCACTGCCCAACCATGCCCTTCAGTGGCTGATGTATTATTATTCTTAGTTGTATCAGTGGGATAACTTTCCAGGAACATCAGGAAAACTGGACACTTTAAACGTTTCTGTAACTCAATCGTAACCTTCAATAAATGTTCCTGGAATGAAGAATTGTTAGCTGGCTAGGAGCATCCACAACTCAGCTCCTAAATATTAGGCCATGCGAGCCGACAGAGCGGGACCACGGAGTGTAGCAGCACGAGGCATGTAAAAATCGCCTCTCCTTGTTTGAGACACTAGCTGCAGAGTAAGGGCAACAAGGAACAGGTGAGGTCAATTAATGGATAAAGCAGGTTCAAACCCCAAGGGAAACTGAAACAAGGAAAACTGAACATAATACAATAACAAATTGTATACACAGAAAAATAATGAAATAACAAATTTTAAACACAGAAAAAACAACTAGTTGGGACTTTCTCTGGTCAGCCTCGAACCCACAACAAAAGGAAGTGTGCATGATGGCTGGCCACTTACCCTGTTCAGCTGCCCAGCAGGCCGGGTAGTAGGGAAACACACTAGGGACTGAGGAGCTACAAGACAGAGGAGGGAACAGGTTGGCCAGCGACACCTGCTGGCCAAATGGGGACAAGACACATGGGACAGGGCCAGACAGGCACCGTTCCTGACAGTGAGGCAGCAGAAAAGCGTTCTCTGGAGTGAACACTACATGCTTCACTATCTTGCATCTGATGGACAAATTTAACTTTGGCAGACACCAGAAAATGCTACTTGCCTGAGTGCACAGTGCCAGCTGTAAAATGTGGGCATAATGGTTTAGGGCAATTCTTCATAGTTCAGTCTAGTCCTCTTAGTTCAAGTCAGAGGTGGTGACAGATTTTTAAAATGGGAGAAGCACAGTGTTGACTGTATGACCTAGAAAGGGCTTTTCCCATTTTTTAGTAGCTCTGCTACTTATATGTAAACCCTACTCTCCTTTATCAAAGTACTTCTTTAGAATGAAGTCCACAGCATTAGCTGCAGTGTCTGCCATGTTGCTGCAAAACCTCTAGCTCAGTTTGGACACATGAACAGCTTAGTTAACACGCTAACTAGTCTACTAAAAACCACTGAACTGGAAAATTAAACTCAGAACTCAATGATAACGACTTTATTTACCATGTTTACAAATGCCAGTGACGAAAGATGACTTAAGAAAGGAGAAACTGTCACTCTGGGTTCCAGTGAAATGCTTCTGTGCCCCTGCGAGTGACAGAATGACGGAATGCAGCGAACCAACGCCGGCGACACTATGCGCAGGTCGTCAGTCGTGAGCTTTATTCTTATCGGTAGTTTATCGTGTCTCGTGCAGAGAAGCCTGACTTCCAGGTGGGTCTAAAATATCTATCTGCAAGTCTGTCTGTCCAATCAACCTTTCCTAAGCAAAACCTACGTCTGAAGCTCTCACAGACTCCCAGTGAAGCACGGCGTCTGGATGGGCTCTGAAATCACGTAATCCGAGCACATTCACGAATAAGCTTTTGTCTACAGTATTTCCCATTTAGACAAAGCGTACAAGAATCTTGCAGAGTGTTCCAATGAAGCACAGTGTCAGTGGGCAGCTATAGGGTGTGTTTATCCTGGCTTCAGAATGAAACGTAACGTATATGTTGTCGAAAGCATCTTCCGTGAAATAATCAGGACTCAGGTTCAATTAGTAAGATATATTGCACTTCTATATTCTGTATTGCACTTCTAATCACAAATAAAATTAATTTACATTGATACACTGACTAATATAGTTTTTTTTTGGAATTTCATGGTGGAGGCCGTGCTTCCTGTGTAGCCTTAGAAGAATGGCTTAATTAGTCAGCATTAATTGCAGACATTTTAGATTATTTTGTGCTTCCAACTGAGAACAATTTGGGGAAGGCCCTTTCCTGTTCCAGCATGTCTGTGCCTCTGTGCACAAAGAGAGGTCCATAAATCCATGGTTTGATCTGGATGGTGTGGAAGAACTTGACTCTGACTCTCTGAACACCTTTGGGATGAGATGGAATGCCGGCCGTGAGCCAGACCTTCTCATCCAACATCAGTGCCCGACCTCACTGACGCTCCCGAAATCCTGTATAAAGTGATCAGAAGACTGGAGGCTGTTATGGCAGCAACAAAAGCACCATCTCCATGTTAGCCCATGGGATATTCAACAGGCCTGCAGTGACATTTAGAGAATAGTGTATAAAACCTTTCTGAAAGCAAATTCAAATCCAATGCAGATCTCGGAATTCTCAGAAAACCGAAAATTAAAACGTTGAGTAGTACTCAGATTTGATCGAATCATTTTGCAGGTGACACTTCTCCTGTGACCCCACCAGTGATCATGTCCAGCACCAACAGACAAGGTAAGTGTCTCATAAGACAGCTATGTACATCTGACTCGTAAATGTGATTAAACATATATGTACGTATACATTTATGGAAATTGGCTTTGGAAAAATGAGTATTGTTTTTATCTAATAACCAATACTGCGCAGGTCTGAGCGGGTATTTAAGTGGTATTTATGAGTATATTATCCACTACCATTCCAGCCTTGTACCCTGTGGAGATACTGTTTTAACTGCCTGTTAATAAAATGTAAAAGTCTGTAAAACCAGTACATAGACACTGAAGCGAAAAGATCGAGGGTATTTTGATGGTTTTCTGAATTTTGCTGAGGCTCACATTGTCCTCGGATGTTCACGTGCTTCACTTACACACAGAACGTCAGTCTACTGAGGATGTGTCCAGCCTTCCTCCATCTGTACCTGTCTCCACCCATATGACCCTGACCAGCTCCGTGGGACATGAGTCTGGTAAGAATGGATTTTTGATCTCACTCTACATTAGTGATTTTCAACCCGGTCCTCAGGATCCCCCAGGCAGTCCTCATTTTTGCATCCTCCCAGCTCCAAGGGAACTTGGAGGGAGCAGTAATGTGGACTGTTCCCGAAGACTGATTTAGGAATCACTGCTATACATGTCCAGAAGCAACAGTCTGCAAGCTTGACTTTAACTCTTGGGCTGCTGATTTGTAATTACAGACAGTTTCTTCAGGGTCAGCCTTAACGTGACCATCTCTGACATCCCACTAGACCCCCAGGACACCGTTCAGACCTGGGTGAGCAGCAGAAATGAGAGCAATGCCCTTGATCTGATGTGGTGCCACACCTCCAGACCTTCTAACACCTGGTGTGTTTGCTGCTTTCTAGCTGACTGAGACTTTAGAGGAACACCAGATGACGGTTCTGAATTTGAAAGTCACCTCCCCCAGGCATGTGACCGTGACATGGAACGACTGTTTCAGGCTGTGCAGCTTTCACAGGGATTGACTGGAAATGCTTTCTGTAGAGCAGGAAACGTAATTCTGATAATGACTGTTAGTAATGACCCTGTGTCTTGCAGGCGGCAGGAATGGATGAATCTGGAGGTGGGGGAGGTAAGAATATTAGTGACCAGTCAAACTGGTTACACTGGGTCAGCTTTAGTTGTCTATTGGACCAGCTCAGGCCTTGTATTATCCCAAAAACCTAACCGTTTTACAGATTGCTGCTTTAAGCAGCTGTATTCTGGTTGCCGGTAGTTATCTCACTTCAGCTTGACTGTAAAACCTTGTGTTTAAACCTTGTTAATTCTCTTATACTCAAACTTTGGTGAGAAACAAAGAAAGTCTGCAGTATTCACAGTCATCTCTCTTAAAGTGCATTTTAGTAGAATTTGTATGTTAAAAAAATAAAAAATTAAAAATCACAAGTAAAACTGTGTTTGAAGTGAACAACTACAGGGAGGATGACATCTAGGGTCTGAGATAATCAGTAGTAAGTAAATTACGCAGATCTTCTGTGTTGATGCCACCTGCTCATAACCATAAACCTTCAGTGTTGGCTACAAACTGTTTATATTAAATACAGAAATATAAGTAGATTGGTGGTGCTGAAATTAACTGATGACTACAACAGTTTATTGCAAATTACATATATCATCCATCCATCCATCCATCCATCCATCTCGTTCCTCGTCAGGGGTACAGGGGGGCCTGGAGCCCATCTCAGGCAGCGTAGGGCTTAAGGTAGAGCTACCAGGATCAGGATGGGATGCCAGTTCATCATTGGCACACACATGCAATCATGGGCTATTTTACAGATCCCACTACACACAAACCCATGTTTATTCTTTTTTTCCAGTCTGCTGTGTATTGTTCTCTGTTTTACAATGCCCTGTTAAATGTGTTTATTCAGATCCTAAATGCGTATATCTGTTTAATGTTTTTAGCATCAGCAGACACTAGGGGTGTAACGAGATTTCTCGTCAGAGTCAAAAGCGGTCTCGCGAAGGCGCTGCAAATCAGCTGATGTAAGCATGTCGGCATCTGATGAAATTACAATAGTCGATGCCCCAGACACTTTTAAATCTTTTGCGTTGCAGTATTTTGGGGACCCGCCGGAAAATATAAACAGCGAAAGGGTGACAGACAAGACACAAACCATCTGTAAGCATTGTAGGAAAATAATGCCGTACACAGCGGCTAACGCTACTACTATGCAAAGCCATTTGCAGCACCATCATAGCTCTTTATTTACATTCACTGCACCGGTGAAGAAAACAATATTTTCAAAAAAAATATTTTATGTTCAATTGAGTAGTCAAATACAAGAGAAGCCTGTCATTTGAGTTTGAGGTGAAATATTTTATAGTGCTAGATATTTGTTCTGCTCTTTACTGCATATGAAGATGGTGATTTAAAACATTTCACCATACATCTGCATTATTTACCATTTTTCGTCTTTCAAATTAATTAAATAAAAGGCTGCTTTCCAGTAATATATTTCCTCTTTGAAGTTTTCCTTAAAATATTGTTAAAATATCGTCTTGTCTCGTTCTCGTGAACCCAATATCGTGTCTCATCTTGTCTCGTGGGCTCAGTATATCGTTACACCCCTAATAGAAACACATTTAAAAGGATTGTGTATGTGACAGAGAGTAACAGAGAGAGTTCGCCTTATGATAGATGGGCTTGTTGCTCAGGGTGCTGTTTGCTTGCTGGGATAGCCAGCAGGCTCTCTGAGGCCTGTGGATAAGAGGTTACTCATGGGTGTGTTTCACTTAATTCATGATTGCCAGGTAGTTCCTCTAACTGGCGCGACCACAGACACTTAGGGTGATAACTCAAAAAGTATTTGACATCTTTTTTTGCAGACATATTGCATGGGTGACAAGCTGGAAATAAAATTTTGAGAATTTTGAGACAGTGCCAAAACTGAAGTAATGCCTTTGAGTAGCAGCAAAGGGAAAGCAAATCCAGATGATATTTGACCCTGTGGATGTGCTAACTGAAAGAGTATTTGAAGGATCTTTGTTGCCACTTTACAAAAACAATATATTGATGAAGATCTACACCAGATTAAATTTTGAGTCAAGCCACCCATTGGCAGGAATGGATGGAAAGGTGCAGAAGATACTTGGTCTTGTGAACACAGTAACTCTAAAGCACTGGTGTCAAACTCCAGTCCTGGGGGGCCGGAGCCCTGCACAATTTTGGATTCCCCCTCATTTAAATTAAGTCAGGATTTCATGTTATAAAGAAATCTTCATTTCGTGTTAGTTTGTCATGATTTCTTCATGTAAACAAATTCTCCTATAATGGTAGGTCGTTCTATTATAGGGGAAGCGCTGGTTTCATGAAATGAAGTCAGGATTTCATGTTATAAAGAAATCTCTTGAGCTGAATTATTTGTGGTGGAACAGGGAAAGAACTAAGCTACACAGGGCTGCAGTTTGATACCCCTGCTCTAAAGGGATCCATGTATCTTTACCTGGAAAACTTTGCAGGAATATTGCATAGGTGATGTTCTAGGACAATTTTGAAACAAATACCAGAAAAACTGAAGCAGTGTCACCTAGTGGCGGCACATGAAAGGACAGCCACTGACACAGATCTGATGAACCTGGCGGCTGTGGGAGGAGTAGGGGTTAGATGGAGGGAGGGGGGTGACAGGGCCCTCCAGGGAATCATTGTCGTTCCGACAGCATTTACTATATGAATATCATACTTGTTTTTGGCATGTTTTAATGCTGAATCTTATACTTTCTTTGCAGTTCTCACAGCCTTCAAGGTATGATAACATGATCACATTTAAGAAATACTTAAAATGAATATTTAAAATGAAATTGATCATTGATATATATGTAATTAAACCAAAGGCGACATATTATTTACAAATACAATGATCCGTATAGAAAGCTATGCATTTGTACCTATATCCGTGATCTGCAGTGCTGCGGCTGGTACTGAGTTGCCAGTGATGGTTTGTTGCTTATGGATGCTTTTCCCCGTATGATACTGTGTCCCCAGCCACAGCTGTACTTTCCAAGTGCAGGTCACAGCACACTCAGACTTCACTGAAAGCGAGATGCTGCTCCGATATCTCCTGGAGAAAGAATACGGCCGGATACGCGCGGAGCCCGAAAGCATCCAGATCGCTCTCATAGGTACCCGCTGACCCAGCTTGGTTCTTCTACTTGGTTTCTTAACGACACGTAACAAAGCTCTTTCTGATCCAGAACCTGGGACGTGTCCAGAGCGCAGGCAACAGACAAGACATGGTTTCTACATTTGGCTACAAACTGCTGCTCAGAAAACTGCCACTTTGCCCTGTGAATGTGACCCAGACAAGGCAGCCACCCGGCTCTGGTGAGACTTACCTTCGGAGTTTGGTAGCAGGGACACAATCCTAGCTTCATACTCACACCTTTTCAAGCCACAGAGAGGATGAAGATGTAAGAGCAGTTGCCTACACCACCTATGAATCATAATCTCTGATTCTCTAACCCAGTGTTTCCCAATCCCTGCCAGACAGTACACGTTTTTGCTCCCTCCCAGCTCCCTGCCAGACAGTCCACATTTTTGCTCCCTCCCAGCTCCCTGCCAGACAGTCCACGTTTTTGCTCCCTCCCAGCTCCCTGCAAGACAGTCCACGTTTTTGCTCCCTCCTAGCTCCCTGCCAGACAGTCCACATTTTTGCTCCCTCCCAGCTCCCTGCCAGACAGTCCACATTTTTTACTCCCTCCCTGGGAGGAAGAAAACATTTGGACTGTCATGGAGGCCCTGAGGACCGGGTTGGGAAACACTGCTCTAACCAATAATGCTGCTTCCCATAGGGGAATCAGTCACATGACTCTGGTTCTGTGACCTCCAGCCTTTTGCTCCGGCCTTTCTTTACCTTGTGACTGTGTGCACAGAGCGTCTTGGAAAGATCCAGCTGGAAAGATTCACATGTGAACAGGAAGCAATTTGAATCAAATCAATCACTGCATCATATGTGGTTCAGTATATCGTGTTTGCCTTTTGACAATAAACGTGTGGGTCATGAGGCTTTTGTAGATAACCGTACGTAATAACTGAGTGATCTGTGTCCCTCAGGTTTATTGCAGGTAGTGACGCTGTGGGGTGGGGGGTGGGGGGTGAAGCCAGAAAAACGTAACCCCCACCCTATATCGTAGTTTTTATGTTGTTATATAAGTATATTTAATATATGTTCTGAAGATTTTATTTACTCTGAGTGCTCAAAATTCATGCCGCAGGATTTTGACACGTGGAACAAGTGCATCTGTTTGGTTTTAACATTGGTAGGGAGCAAATCAGCCCCGAACCCCTAAACACACATGGTACTCCCACAATATTAGTAATATTAGTAAATGTGCCTACCATCCATACCCAAATCTTCATTCATATTCATCAATTCTAATCCAAATCAGGAAATGGAACTGGAGTTGGAATGTAAATCTCCTTGAAATTCGAATTCAGTTCCAATTCTGCTCCCCATAGTATTTTTTTCCAATCCCAACTCCAGTTCCATTTCTTGATTAGTATTGGAATTGATGTATGCATTCCGGAATGACCCCAACCCTGCTTGATACGGAGCAAAACTGAGCTTGAAGTGTACCATTGGCCTTAACGTTTAAAAAAGAGAATGCTTGGATGTCCGGACATGGCATTTCTCTCTCTGTAGCCCCTCTAGAATGGACGTGCTTGATTTCTCTTTCACAGTGCCCTGGATGCCATATCTGAACGGGCCAAGTGGTCTCCTGCAGATCTCCGCTCCTGCCCGCTCATTGCCATTCCTGACCTTGAGAGTATCTATATCTCACCAGGTGGGTTATAAAATTGGTGTCAGCGTCTCATGTGTAACCAGACAAGCCTGGGTGTTTGCTACAAACCCAACAAAAAAGACACAATAGAACAATCTCATTAGACCAGTGGTTCTCAATCCTGTTCATGGAATATTTTCACTCCAACCCAACTTTAATCAGGCTTTGATGGTTCTTGATAGGCTAATAATGAATGCGGCGGGTGGAAAGCAGTGTGGGCGAGAATGAAAACAATATTGAGAACCTTTGCGTTAGACTAAATGTATACTTATACTTTATAAACAGCTGGGAAAAGGCAGCTCTGAAATTCATTAACTTTGAACTGAAAGAGGGTAATTTTATCATTTAATGAGTTTTTTTTCCCCATATTCTTGACCAAAGTGCCTTTGTGGTGTTCTCTGTATACCCAGAAAATTCCATGGATGTGGTGGAGATAATCGCAAATCTAACACGTGCCCAAACATCCCTGAGTCCCCCTGACCTCATCATCCTGATCACCAAGCTAGAGGAGATCGTCGCCGTCGCCGTGGTGACGCCGCCTCTGGGGTCGGCCATCATCAACATCATCTCCAGCATCATGGCTTCCGACAGTGACCTCTCAGCCGTCACTAACAAGTAAGTGCGGGGTCAGGGTCTGCCCCTGAAGGCCGTGGCAGCGTCCTTCTGCTGACCGCCATCTCCCCTCTCCCCGTGCAGCATTCTCAATATTACAGACAACATCGGGAACAGCATGATCTACAGCGGGGAGCAGTATGATGTGATAACCCCCAGCCTGGCCGTCTCCCTCCTCAACGTCAACTCCTCTCGGTTTCAGGGTCTCTCCTTCGGGGTCTCGTCCATCTTGCAGGACAGTGGCCCCGAGGTGAGCGTCCACCCTTAAACCTTAAACATGAAAATGAGCAAAGAAGAAAATAAGTGCAAATGATTGAATGTGCGAGAGGGGTGGGAAGGGGTGGGAACCCCTCTGCTGTTTTATGTCAACAGAATCTAAGACAAATCCTCAACTGAAGCCGGAGCTTCCGCCCTCGATATGGCGCCTGGTCAAACGGCACAGAGCTGTAAAACTTCATCAAGCTGTCGATACGCATCTTTACAGCTTATCTGCCACTGCTCTGCCATAAGGCTATAATCACCTGGCACTGTGAAAACAGTTTTTTCCGCAGGAGCTTCTGCTAATTTTTATAATGTGCCCTGCCAGCTGTCTTCTGTAACGCTTATCAAGTCCAGGGTCGCTCTAATTTGGCAGTCCAGGCTGTCCCAGGTAGTACAGGACACAAGGCAGAGAACATCCGGGATGCGGCCCTATATGCAGGAGTAAACATAGGGGTAAATATATTGTGAAGGGTTCCTAATGAAAACAAAAGACTTACGATAAACATGCAAGTAAGCCACTTTTTAAATGCTTTTCTCGTTATTTTACTGCATTCAGACAAGGTTAGGAAAGAGAAGCTGTGAGCTTATACCAGAGGATTTGTGACCTTGAGTATATCCGATAAATTAAGAGTTATCAAACATACACCAGGCTGCAAACCCTGCAAGATGGACGGGTGGGTAGATGATGGATGGATGGATGGATGGATGAACGGATAGATGGATGGAGGGAAACAAGCACCAAGGTTGAAATAGAAACTAAGCTCTTACCCCAGGGGAGTTATGACTGACTTTGAAATATGAACAGATGTGTCAAATAAATTATATTTGTGTAAATGTGTAAATGCACATTTCTCTGGCTTTCTTGCGCTGTAGATCTTCCTCAACCAGGAACCTTTCCAAACCACCGTGGCCTTCATCTATCTGCCGCAGGCGGTGGGCCAGTATTTCCCTGAGAGCACTGGGATTCCGTCCCGAGTCCAGTTTCATTTCTACGTCATTTCGGATCTCTTCACGGTACCGGGATGTGGCCTATTCAGAGCACTTTGTTCATCCTTGCGCTATAGTAAATGGTGAAGGTGTTACATCTTTCACCGTTTTCCGTCTTTGTTTAGCTCCTAGTAAATCAGTATCACAAACATGACATTCATTCGACCAATGCATGCATCTCATTGGAGTTTCTGTATTAAAGGCCCATTAAGCACACCAGCAAAATGCGCTTCATTTCCAGGACAAGTGGAGCCAGATGGAGCTGAACACCTACGTCGTGTCTGCCAGTGTCACAAATGCCACCATCAAAGACCTGAAGCACCCAATCTTTGTGACTCTTCAACACCACAAAGCCACCCAGGTAGATGCAGTGCTGGTAATGCCTTATCATTTCCTGTTCATTGGCTAAAACAAGCAATTAGACAAAACCAGGTTAATCAACCTAGTTCTTTCATGTCTTCCCAGCCCAAGGACAAAGTGCAGTGTGTCTACTGGGATTTCAGCAAAAATGGTAAGATGTTACACTGTTGTTGACTTGAGGTGGAAAGTTCAGGTCCAGTAAGTACAAAACCTTGGTCTGGATTTGTACTTCCTGGACCTTAACTTTCCATCTCTGGTTGCCGGCTCTCTCCTTTGTATCTGCAAAGCGCCCTGCCATCCAGCCACATTAGATCACCCAGCGAAGCCCTCAGGCTATAAACTTGACAGATTGATGGAAAATGGAATCTTAAGAAGATACTCTGGAGAAAAGTGAAACCACAGTTAATGTGCTGAAGGATCAGGGTATTGGTACCTGTATGCACTGTGTTTTTCTCTGTTTGATGCAGGCAGACAGGGTGGATGGGAGTCCAGTGGGTGCAGAGAGAACCAGACCAGTGCGACCCATACCACCTGCTTCTGTGACCACCTCACTCACTTTGGGGTGCTACTGGTAATGATCTCGGCTCCTGGTAATGATCTCAGCTACTGGTAATGATCTCGGCTACTGGTAATGATCTCGGCTACTGGTAATGATCTCGCCTACTGGTATGATCTCGGCTACTGGTAATGATCTCGGCTACTGGTAATGATCTCGGCTACTGGTAATGATCTCAACTACTGGTAATGATCTCAGCTACTGGTAATGATCTCGGCTACTGGTAATGATCTCGGCTACTGGTATGATCTCGGCTACTGGTAATGATCTCGGCTACTGGTAATGATCTCAGCTACTGGTAATGATCTCGGCTACTGGTATGATCTCGCCTACTGGTATGATCTCGGCTACTGGTAATGATCTCGGCTATTGGTAATGATCTCGGCTACTGGTAATGATTCGGCTACTGGTATGATCTCGGCTACTGGTAATGATCCCGGCTACTGGTAATGATCTCAGCTACTGGTAATGATCTCAACTACTGGTAATGATCTCAACTACTGGTAATGATCTCAGCTACTGGTATGATCTGGGCTACTGGTATGGTCTCAATTACTGGTATGATCTTACAAATGAGGACAAATCAGTGTTTCAATCCATTTGAAGGTTAAATATTTAGTGTTTATTCATTAAGATGGTTAAATTTATTAGGAGTAAAATGAATAATAATTACAGGCAGCCCTCAGGTTACAAATATCGGTTCCCTAAGTATCTCTTTAAGTCAAATTTGTAGGTAACAGGTACATACTGTTCTGATTTAGCGTCAGTTAGTCAAATGTTTGTCTTAGTATATAGTAAACATTTACTGTACTGTACCTCGACCCGACAAACCACTGAAGTTGCAAAATGTTTTCAAGAGCGTCACAAAGTAGCATGTGTGTTCATTATTAAGAACCATTGTATTTAACCTGGATTTTTAATATAATGGACTTTATGGCAGTCCGTTTGTCTGTAAATTGGGCGTTCCTAACCTGGGGACCGCCTGTACAATATGTTGAATATTATAAAATAATTATCAGAATCATATTGCCACACTGATTTTCCTAAAATGAAATGTTAACTCCTTTTCATAAATGACAGAGATGGTTTTAATGGCTCCACTCCTTTGTATTTGCAGGACGTGTCCAGGACTCCAGTGAGTGAGATCAATGAGAAGATCCTGACTGTCATCTCCTACCTGGGCTGCGGTGTTTCCTCCATCTTCCTAGGCATCAGTGTGCTGACATATGCGGCCTTTGGGTGAGCGACTGTCAGCGGCTGTGAATGGCTGTGAGCGGCTGTGAATGGCTGTGAGCGGCTGTGAGCGGCTGTGAATGGCTGTGAATGGCTGTGAGTGGCTGTGAGTGGCTGTGAGCGGCTGTGAACGACCACAGATGGAGCTGAAGAGTTACAATGTCCATCCTGCTGCACTTGACTATACCAACAAGCTCCTGTTCACACTCATGGTCGCCGCTATTTTGTTCCCCCTCAGAGTTTCATGAGCCGTCATCTAACTTTATTAATGTAAAACCTTTATTAATGTAAAAACAATCTCACCTCATCTTTCCTACTCTCCCCCCATTTCACTTCCTCTCTTACAGGAGGCTTCGGAGAGATTACCCATCAAAAATCCTGCTTAATCTGTCACTGGCCCTGCTGGGTCTGAATCTCGTGTTCCTCGTCAACTCCTGGCTGTCGTCCTTCGGCTCTCGGGGCCTCTGTGTCGCCGTGGCCGCAGCCCAGCACTACACCCTCCTGGCCTCTTTCACCTGGATGGGCCTGGAGGCCGTTCACATGTACTTTGCTCTGGTGAAGGTCTTCAATGTCTACGTCCCCGCCTACATCCTCAAGTTCTGCATTCTTGGCTGGGGTAAGAAAAAATAGGTCAGGAATGATGTCGCTGAAAATGAGGCTGGTGATGATGGTACTTCTAGCTATGATCTGTCTACTGTGGTGGTTACATGTGGGACTGAGCACACGGCACAGGTCCATAAAAAACACATAAAAAGTGTCGTCTTTGTCTCTTCTGTTGTCTGATTGGTAACCGTTTCTATGAAGCTGCCATCTATGATGCATTGTAGACACCTTCATAATACATTAATAAGCATCTATAATGTATTATCATGGTTGGTATAAGAATGGATGCTTCTTAATGCATTATGAAGGAATCTATAATGCATTATAGAGGAGAGCTTCATTGCAGCTTATGAAGCATTATAATCAACACTATAATGCCCTGTAACTGTCAATAGAAGATGCTGTAATGCTTTACTAATTCTTATACCAACCATTATAATGCATTATGAAGGTGTCTATAGCGCATTATAGAGGAGAGCTTAGTAAAGTGCTACTGAAAGTTTATTTCTCTTTCAGCAGGGCAGTTTCTACAGCACTCAGAAATGAGTTCTAACATAACAAAGTCTTGCTTCACTTTTTAGAAATATCCTTTTTGCCTTTTTCTGGCTTTTGAAATGACACTTTATTTGTCATTTGCATAAGTACAGATACATTGGGATGCTTAGTTTTCGGATATCCCATCATGCTCTCTGTACATACATATAGGGCGAGAGGGTAGCTTGGGGTTCAAGTGCAAGCTCAGGCCATTTATCTCGTGGCCCTGCGGGATAAATACAGAAAGCAGCATGAGACAATTAGTACTGTGTCAATCTCACATGATAAATTGCATACATACATCAGTGCACATAATGTGGAGAAAACGAAGGGCTTGGCGTGATGCACGCAACTCTGCAGAGTTGGGTTTTATAGAAGAGAGTTGTCATCTTAAGCTGCTTTCTGGACACAGCCTGTGTCTGTATTTGGTCTTCGTACTAGTGAGTGCTGAGAATCCGCTCTTGCACACGTACAATGCTCACAGACAGTGCAAAAATGGATCCTGCAAAAATCTTGCAAATGTATTGGTGCACATATCTTCTGCACAGACATTTTCTTTGTATTAATGGTCATGATTTTTTTTAACTAATTAAGTTCTGTTCTTGCCATTTTGCTATTAATTACAATTGTAAACATTTGCTCTCAGAGGGATATTAAACACAAATGTTTGGTTTTGTTATCGCAAATGTTTTACTAATTAAAAAGCACCAAATGAGGCTGCTTGTCAATGAACTTTGTATCTCAGAACAGCTCTTTTAAAGCCATAATTTGGGTTTCAATTTATTACTACTTTAAATGAATGTTGTACTTAAATCTGCTAGGTGCTGCTAATGTGATTATATATTTTTTGTAAACAAGTGAATAAAGTAATGATTTTTGTTATAAAACTAATAATATTGCAATAGTCCTAAGACTTTCTGTGGGCACTGTACAGTATGTTGCAAAGGGCATTAATGTCTTTATAGAGTGCTTTGTCCAGGCAGGGTATTCTGCATGCAGTGCTATCCAAAAATCTGCCACTGGCTTTTGATTAAACTCAGTTTTCAAAAACCAACTCATTGAACTTTCAGTGAGACCGTCTTGTTAAGTGGAATGCAATATCATAGAATGGACAATTTGCGTCGTCTGTCTCAATCCCATGTGTGAGTAACGTTACAAAAATTATCAACTGTTTTGTTCGCACACGCTACTGGACAAACAAGAGAAAGCCAATGAGGAAGTTCAACTTTGTGGTTTTCGTGAGTTAATCAATTTAAAATCTCAGAATTGTTGGTGTACCCCCTGCACAATCTCACATAACACAGTTTGGGAAACACAGGACTATTCCGGCAATCACAGGTACAGAGGCCTGACTAATCCCACTGTGTCTATTGCAGGTCTCCCGTTGGTGATCGTCAGCCTGGTGTTAGCAGTGAAGATGGATGCCTATGGCAGTGCTCTGTATCATGAAAATATTCAACCGCTGGATGGATCTGAGCAGTTGTGAGTGATGTGGAGTAGATGTGGTGTAGATGTGGAGTAGGGCTTAGGGGCGGTCACTCCACACATGGGCGGTGACGGTGACAACCTGTTTTTTGCCAACCTTCAATTGTGTTTTTTCCTCTCAGCTGCTGGCTGCAGGATGATGTTGTCTTCTACGTGTCTGTGGTGGCCTACGTCCTCCTGATTCTGCTGTGCAACATCTCAGTGTTCGTAGTGGTCTTGGTCCAGCTTTGCAACATCCAGCCTCCTGGCAGTCGCACTGGGCTCCTGCGTGACCTACGGGGTGTGACCAGCCTCACCTTCCTGCTGGGCCTCACCTGGATTATGGCCTTCTTCACCTGGGGCCCTGCTAAGGTGCCGCTGCTCTACCTCTTTGCCATCCTCAACAGCTTGCAAGGTGAGTAGAGCATCCTCAGAATCAGAGGTGGATAGTTCAGGTCCAGGAAGTACAAATCCAGGCCAAGGTTTTGTTTCAACAAACCAGTTGAGTACTTTGTGACTGTGACTCTTTATTTCAACTGGTTGGTTGAAACCAAATGTTGATATGGATTTGTACTTTCTGGATCTTTCCAAAAGTAAATGATTTGAATGACCAATAGGAAGGGGACACCCGCAGACCCACGATGCCCATGTGTTAGCGATCACAGAGGATTTAAGAGGCCTAGCTAAGACAGTGAAAGAAGAATCACGACACTTCTGGGAATCCCCAAAGAACACTTATGCAGAGGTGGAAAGTTCAGGTTCAGAAAGTACAAATCCAGACCAAGATTTTGTTTCAACCAACCAGTTCAACATAAAGAGTCATGTGGTGAGTTCGACTTCATGCAGCCGCTTACAGTGCTGGCTTAAAGCAATGCATTCTGGTTAGATTTTTTTGTCGAACTTCAGCCGGCGCTGGAAAATGTCACCACTCGTCACCATGTCACATGGTACAAAAACCTTGCGAGAGCAAGACGACTTAAGACAGATCATGCAGCACTTCTCAGCCGTCTGCACAAACTGGAACCGCCTCCATGACGACACAACTTTGCCCTTATTGGCTGAAGATTATAGTCACATATAATCTTACGTTTGTATCCCAGGAAGTTCCGATGCGTTATCTGCTATTTCTCCCGAAAAGCACGTAAAGCAGTGAGAACTGGTGTTTAGTTAATTTACTTGGTAAAATAAAGTATAAATAAATTACATAAATGCTGTAATAGTACACATAAGTGTCACGCCCGCAAGCTGAACACACCCACGGTCATAAAGTACTCAACTGGTTGGTTGAGACAAAATTGGTCTGGATTTTTACTTTCTGGACCTGAGCTATCCACATCTGCCCTGAATTGAATAAATAGCCCATATTTTTTAATACCCCTGAATGTTTATTGCTATTGGGGGGGATTCTCCAACAATTCATGTTATGTGATGAGTAAAATTTTGGAATGTTTAGCCGAGTTCAGTAGAGATCCAAGAAAATAAACATATAACAAAAAAACATATTCTAGCATGTTCCGGAAAGGTCAGGTTGGGCTAGACCTGTCTTTATTTTTCAGGGTTTTTTATTTTCGTCTTCTACTGCTTGATGAAGGAGAGTGTGCAGAAGCAGTGGAGGATCCACCTCTGTTTCGGCCGCTTCAGACTGGCAGACCACTCAGGTATTTTAAATGAAGGCGCAGTAATTTGTTCACATTTTGTGTGTTTATATATAACACACACACACACACACACACACACAGAGGTTTGTATTCCTATCTTTGTGGGGACCCTCCATTCATTTCTATGGGGAAAACAGTAATCCCAGCAATGACGACCTTAACACTACCCAGCCCTGACCTTAACCATATGTAACCAAACAAAATACCAGACTTTTGACACGTTTATTTTTTTGATTACAGTCACAGATTTTTAGAAGATTGAAAAAAATAATAGCATTTTATTATATTGGTGGGACTTTTGGTCTCTACAATATGCTTACATGACCCCCCCCCCACACACACACACACAACATGTTTAAATGTAAAATACATGAATGGTTATGGAATTATTTCATATACAGCTGATACCAGCACACTTCATTAGTTGTGTACAAATTAATTCTTGCATTGCATTACAGGCAGTCTGCGTTAAGAAGGTCTGAGTTATAGATAACTCGTACTTGCGAATGGGTTGCCGTAAAGCGTATTATATTTAAAAATGTGGGTTAAATAGAACATAAGAACATAAGAACATAAGAAATTTACAAACGAGAGGAGGCCATTCGGCCCATCAAGCTAAATACATGTTTAAAACTAAAGTTTCGTAATAACAAATGCATGGGCTGCTTTGCGATGCTCGTGAAAACATTGTGCGACTTCGACGGTTCATCGGCTCAAGGTGCAGTACAGTAATGTATTTTTCCGTCCAACAACCTACAAATTCGACTTCAAGACAGACTCAGGAATGGGATCTCACTCATGACCGGGGGACTGTCTGTATTTACCTGAACATTCCCCGACACAGCTATCGGTTTAGTGCAGTGACTTGTTAAACCCTGATAACAGTCAGCCAAACAATGTTATTAATGTGGCCTGAAACATAACAGAATTCCTAGAATGATTTCCAGTGACTCCTAGAGATGTGAGCAGATGTATAATGGATTCCTCATTAGTGCTGTTTTGGTTTATTTATTCTGATACCGTAGTAAAAGCAGTTCTGTGAGCACTGACACTGGCTGCGTCCCGCAGACTGGAGCCAAACGGTGTCCGGGGGTGTGAAGACAAGGCTGCACCCACTGGTCCATACTCCCTCGGTGAAGTCTGAGAAATCGGATCACTCCAGCTCTACCAGCAGCAGCTCGGGCTGCACCCAGTATGACCACCAGCCCGGCTCGCTCACGAGACTCACTAAAGGTAGGAGTGTAGCATCTAGCAGCATGTGTTACCGTGTGATGCCAGCAAGCATCAGGGCCTGGCTGTGGGAATGAGGGCATTACAATTCATGGAGTGACTTGAGTAAAATACACTATATGGATTAAAGAATTGGGACACACCTCTTAATCACTGAATTCAGGTGTATCATTCAGACCCACTGCTACAGGTATATGAAATCAAGCACCTAACCATGTGGTCAGGTTTACAAACATTTGTGAAAGAGTGGGTCATGTGGCTCAGTGAATGGTACTGTCATAGGATGCCACCTTCTGCAATAAGTCCGTTTGTTTTATTTCTTCTCTGCTAGATACTCGACGGCCAACTGTAAGTGGTATTATTGCAAAGTGGAAGCATTTAGGAACGACAGGAACTCAGCCATGAAGTGGCAGCCCAAGTAAAGTAACAGAGGGGGGGTCACCGAGTACTGAGGCGTATAGTGTGTAAAAGTCGCCAATGCTCCGTGGACTCTGGAATAGTCGAAACATGTTCAGCGGAGTGACAAATCACACTTCTGTCTGGTAGTTTGATGGACGAGTCTGGGTTTGGCAGATGTCAAGAGACCCTGGCTGACTGTACGGTGACAGGTGTAAAGTCTGGTGGAGGAGGGATAATGGTATGGGGTTATTATTCAGGGGTTTGGCTATAGGCTCCTTAGTTCTAGTAAAAGGAAATCTTACTGCTTCAGCATACCAAGACATTTTGGACATTTATATGCTTACAACTTTGTGGGGACAGTTTGAGGAAGGCCCTTTTCTGTTCCAGCATGACTGTGCCCCAGTGCACAAAGCGAGGTCATAAAGACATGCTTGGGTGAGTTTGGTGTGGAAGAACTTGACCGGCCTCATAGAACCCTGACCTCAACCCCACTGACCATCTTTGGGGTGAAGGAGAATGGAGATTGTGAGCCAGGCCTTCACATCCCACATCAGTGCCTGACCTCACAAATGCTCTCCTGGATGAATGGGCTACAGTCCCCACAGACACACTCCAAATTCTTATGGAAAGCCTCTCCAGCTGTTACAGCTGGACCAGCTCCATACTGATGCCTATGGATTTGAATGGGTCGTGATAAAAGTTCCTGTGAGCGTAATGGCCGGGTGTCTCAATACTTCTGTCCATATAGTGTATGATTTTGCTCCTGGTTTGCATCCTTTGTGCCCTTTTTGTTTCAGTGAAGTTCCTTTTATCAGCCTAATGGTGGCGCTGATTTGTACAATACTGTGTCATTTTGTGGTTTCACATAGAAATGGCCTTGTGATTATAGAGCGGCATTCAAATGATATTTTATGTGATATGAATGTTTTCTTTTCATTGTTCGGTGAAGCTCTGCTTCACTTGTCTTAAACAAACTGCCAGTGATGAACACTGTCCCTCACCGACAGCGAATCTCCTAATGTGCTGTTTGTCTCACTTGTGCATTGCTTCGGACAAAAGGACCTACTGAATGAAGTAAATGTGAATGTCCTGGTCCCTGTCTGTGCTCCTTCCACAGGATTGTCCACAAAGGCCCTGGTGTTGCCACGAGCCCAGTTTCGCTCCTCCCCTCTCTCATACCCAGAATGAAGCTCACAGAAGGCGCCTCCACAGCTTACTCACCCTCTGAAAACCCTGCACTGCTTCAGTCATGTGCCCCAGGCATGCTTTCTGTGAAGGGTGGAAATGCACTGATCACACCATGCCTGGGTCCCGATTAAAGGGCTTAAAACTGCGACTGAATCACATTACAGACCCTCCTAGTCAAATGTTCTCACACCACATTCAACAGTCTGTGTTAAGCCCAATTAATACTTCACCTTTCTGCATGCCGTTATGATCTGTGCACAGTGTGTGCCACATAAATGTCTTAATCATTGTTCTCCGGTGGATTGACGTGAAGCCCAGATTTTGGGTCTAGCAGGCTTTGTGCGTGTTGGTGTGTGTCGACTCTGTGTGATTGACTCTGTGATCCCAGTAGGTGGCAGCACTGACTTTCACAGAGCAGAAGTTAAAGAGGAGAGAGTAAAAGAAGAAGAGTAGTTGCAGTTATGGATGCTTTTGATGAGTAGCTGTGAGGAGATGCAGAGGTACCTGCATATACATATTTAACTCATCACTGAGAGAGCACAACGATGTATTCATATACTAAATTTGTGGAAGAAACATAAAATAGAAGAAGAATAGAAAAATAATAGAAATTCTAAAAGTGGAGATGGAAATATCTGCCATCTGCTGGTCATCTGCTAGTATGTATACGGAGACAGCAGCCACCCTATTACAATAGTAATATGTACACTAGAGTCCACGCGCACAACTGTGTGTGAACCGTAATAGGAAGCAGAAAAGTGAAGCATGAACTTGGAAGTAATGTGTCCCACGAAGGAAAATTGTCCTTGGTGAAAATTCCCTGAATTTGCAATTGCACATGTCTGGTGTGGATAAATTCCCAAACCAAAAGCAGAAATACTGGAGCAGTCTTGTTATTTATAATCTTTTATTTAAACTTAAATAGTGAAAAACTCTTTGCAATCACCATAGTGTAACTGAAATCCATAGTGTTACTGAAATGTTATGTTTGCACATTTTACTTTCTGTGATAAAACTTGTTTTACATAATTGGTTTTTTACCATAATTGGAAGTACAAAACATGAAATATGTTGGTTATTGGATATGCAAAGTTTGATTTACCTGATTTTCCATCAGGTAATCTAGTAGCATAGCTCAATACTTTGCAGTCATATAACTGAATGTAAAACTTTTGGAAATGTTTTTCATATAATAAAATAATGCTTAGGTTAAAGAGTTACTGTGCAAATATAAGGTGATATTTCATTTCTTTCTTTTTTTTCACTTAATTTTTTCCGAAAAATGTTATTGTTAAAGTTGGCTTATTAGCATGCTAATTAGCTATACCTCGAGCTGGAACACAACCTGAAATGAATGTCAGAGTGAATAAACCAACCATTAGCAGGACAATTACGAGAGGAGGGGGGACAGTGTAAGACACTGCTTCTTCATGCAGTATTGCATCGTCTTGTGACCCTGTGCACCCTGGGATTGCCATGACAGCGACTGGGGTAAATGGGTCACAGGTAGATTTTTGGATGGACGGATGGATGAACACTGAGGTAATTCATGAAATGTCAGAAGGACTTGTGAGTGGACTAGAAACGTTTAGCTAAAATACCACAAAGCGTAAAGATAACATTTTATTACCACGTACAAGTTCAAAGAATATTACGGCAAGCTGTAGTTAAGATATCGTGAAAATGCGAAAATGCGACACAGACCCATTCTGTGCAGGTTGGCATTCATTCCTGCAAAGGACATGTAACTGTTACCTCTCTGGGTCCTCAAAAATCAACGGTCTACAGCAGTAGCCAGTCCTAGTCAATGTGGCACCCTCAGTGAGCATCACCGCCGGCGCCCCCTGTCTGAGGCAAAGTGAAATTACCTGGCAAGTTGGTGTCCCCTCAGAATCTATAGGATTGACCAGCCCTGCTCCACATTTACTTTCAAAAATTAAAATTTATTTTATTATTAATTTTATCCAATATTATAATGATTCAGTTTGATAAGTTACTTTAATAATCAGGCATCTTTTTGATGTGTATCAAACAGATGGAGTGATACCCCAACAGTAACACTCTGCCTGCCCTTCCCCCAGAGACACACCCCTGTCGAAACAACACCACCAACATGGAAGCACAAAACACGAAGTATGTCGGTTATTGGATATGAAAAGTTTGATGCGCTGGTTAATTTTCCATCAGGTAATCTACTCCAGTACCATAGCTCAATAAGTTCAGTCATATAACTGAATTTACTCTTGCTGTACAAACAAAAGCATTGTCTATAAGTTATGAGCAGGAACAGGATAATGGCCAAATATTAAATTATTAATAATAAATAATACATACGTCACCAACATCCTCTTGGGATACCACAGTCCTGTCATGGTCGAAGCAGTTGCTGGCCTTATTGGACTTTATTATTTGTATCCCACAGAAGACAATCCACAAATATGTACCATGATCCACAAAAAATGTAACTATCCACAAATATGTATTTTTAAATTTGTGTTGTTTAAAATCATATCCACAATAATACTTGTGACTTCACTCCTATTTATTTACGGATTTTTGTCCAGCTCAATACCGCTACAGCGCCCCTAGCAGGTCTGGGTGGGAAAATATTTTTTGAAATAGTTTCACATTCACTCACAATATGACGTGACATACATGGATAAAGCTAAACAATACAGACATGTCCTGTAAAGTGAGCTTTAAGCATTTAACTATGGGGGACAAAGCACACCATGTAACTTTAATATTATGTTTTTAGATGTATTTATTATTAATAATAATAATTATTATTATT